CTTCGGTACTTATTTCGCAGGAGTGCCAGAGTACAGCGAGACTTACGCTGCAACTGTCAGAATTTCTTAATGCCAGACTGAATTTGCCCTTGAGGCTGTGTGTTGTGCAGGTTGTAAGTAGTCCCAATAATGAGAATTTCGTAAAATCTGCTTATAAGAAATTGTCATACTGTGGCATATATGCTCAAAGCAAGAACTGTGGAATCAGAGAAATAGCCGTTGCTAGCGAACGGCTATGAAACAACATTCGTTTCTACGCAACGGCGCGGTAACCACATCTCTGCGGCAACGAATTCAGACACAAAAATAGAAGAATTGTGCTTTCTGTTGGTCCGAACCAAGGGGTTATACATGTTGGACGAAGTTTAGAAACTGTTCAAGTTGTAGCAGTTGGATGTTCTCGATTGGTTTAGTCTAACAAATCCTTATTAACGTTTGAAGGGATTCTATGCTATAACTGTTGTCATATCAATTATTACCTTAGCCACCTTGTTTTTAGAATGTGTTTATTATCAGAGAATGCGATGTTAAAGGCACACTTATGCTATATAAATGCCGTGTTTGTATGACGTATAACTGACTCCATGGAGCTGAGCCCTTCTCGAGCAGTCGCCACACAAGAACTTCTCAAAATTTTATGGAACCCGAAGGTTCATTACCGTGTTCACAAGAGCCCTCCACTGTTCCATATCCTCAGCTAGATTAATCCAGTCCATACTGCCCCATTCTATCTCTCTAAGATCCATTTGAATATTATCCATCCACCTACGTCTTGGTCTTCCTAGTGGTCTCTTTCCTTCTGGTTTCCAGCAATATATATCAGCGAATAGAAGCCAGAAAAGGTTTCTCCGACAGATGACCTCTGGCTTCAGACGCAAATTTCTCGGTCTTCGTCGGAATCGCTGGAAGCTCAAATGCCCCCCCCAAAAAAAATGGGTGAGGGGTATCGGTTTCTTACTGAAGCAGCATGAATTGCATTCGTGGAAAGCCTCGTATTAGTTTTTCTGTTCGTGTACACAATATTATTTGTTATTTGCTTCTCTCGTTATTTCGAGTGTTTCCGGTGGCTGCAATGATGAGATTGGTTTGGAAACATGAGAAAGACAGAATTCCTACAGTCCCGGCAATAAACAGCGTACCTACACCAGCATATAATGTTCCAACTTCGGTTCAGGGTGCAAGATCTAATACAACATATAATTTAATTAATAAATGATTAATTCACTTCGCGCTGTAGGCCGTTTTCCCAGGCATCCAACAATATTTTACAGACCTGAAGGTTTGGCCTTCTATTCCCGATGAGGTCATTAGAATTTTCAGTTGATTTAATCTTTCCAGCCGCATTACGGCCCTTGGGTCGACTCAGCCTCTAACAGAAGTGAGTACCAGGAATCTTCCTGCGGGTAAATGGCGGACGGCCAGTGCGTAAGGGTGCCAACCTCACCGCCATCTGTGAGCCGATTTTCTAGAAAATGTGGGAGCCCCGATGTCTCACAACCCTATGGGTCTCCACGGCATTTTACAGGGACAGCTTTACCTTTTTTTTTAAATTTTACATGTATTAAACTATATCCATATCTAAGGTATTAAAGTATTTAAGGTTGATATTGGAAATTTAATGTATCGTATTCCTCTTACACACACGTGTACATGACCCTGTGGCCGGAATGTGTTCGGTGAACTAATCATTTATTGACGAAGCTGTACGTCATAGTAAGTAATGCTGTCTGAACAAGCAACCCGCAACACTGTTGGACATGTTCCGTTTATTCGTGAGTGTAGAAAGATCATTAAACGGGAAGAAAAGCCAGTATTAAAAATTGTACGTTTCGGTTGAGGTTTAATGTTCTCACGCTGGTGATTATGAAGATTACCCTCTTCTGAGATCTGATGTCGTGTCGTCTGGTAGACAGTTCGCTTAGTGGGGGTGGAGTCCAACTGGGTCCACTCGGCACGGCGGTCACTGATTGGCCTATTGTAGCCTGCCCCGGGTGATTATGATGATGAAGAATTTGGTGGAATGAAGATTGGCAGGGGAAACCGAAGTACTCGGAGAAAACCAGCCCCAGCGCCACTTTGTCTACCCTAAATCCCACTTGACCAGACCTGGGATCGAACCCAGACCGCCGCGGTGGGAAGCCAGCGACTAACCGCTTGAGCTATGGCGCCGACTGGTAGACAGTTGCTAAGGTTTCGGACAGTCCGAGTAGAACCCTGAACATGGAGGAGGTAAGTTCTTTCGAAATATTAAATATACGTTTCTTCTTTCGCATTGCGTGTTTCTGCTGCCTAGTTTTGTGCAAATGTTTGATAAGAAAAACGTGTGTGTATTTTGATCCCTATAAATTCTTTAAAACCTTACCTGCGATCACACTTAGCACGAATGAACCGGACATATATTTGTTCCCGTGCGTATGTACGTTTGGGGCAGTAAAGGTATAGCGCTAAGCATTCTTAACCCCGGCACTTGAAGTTATTTACCTAGAGGGACTGGGGAAAAACACGCAAATCCTCGAACAATGCCGTCTTCTGTGATGTGACGCTGTGTAGATCTTGTGTGAACCGATGTTTAGGAGGAACGTATCGCCTCCATCTTCAGGGTAGAAAAATCCGCGAGCGAGGAACCAGTGTGAACAGTTGGCTGCAGACTGATAATACAGAATTTAAGCCTTCATGTTTTATTCGAATGTACTTTTGGATTATCCACGAAGAAGGTTTTCTGATAATTGTAAAACTAGATGTACATATTTATAACAAAATAAGACAAAATTGCCTGCCTTAGATTAGATTCAAATCTGCACCGAAGTATGTACGTGTAGTGGACTGCAGGAATTGTACTACCTCAAGTGGTGTTTATGTATGTACGTGTAGTGGACTGCAGGAATTGTACTACCTCAAGTGGTGTTTATGTATGTACGTGTAGTGGACTGCAGGAATTGTACTACCTCAAGTGGTGTTTATGTATGTACGTGTTGGACCAGAGAAGAAAAATTGTAGACCTGATTCTAATTTTCTCAGCAGCAACATTTTCTACTAATTGTATCTCATTGGTATATTAATTTTCTCGTCTGTGCTTATTTGTTACAATCGATCTTCGCCGTTGTTATTATTGACTCACACATGGAAACAAATATGACATTACATTTTTGGAAGAAACATTCACAAAATACAGCTATAATATAAATCCTGAATGGGCACGCGGTAGCGTACTTGGTTGAGGCACTATGCTACAAGCCGGAAGCTCGCGTGTTTGATTCCCGATAAGTTCACTGGAATTTTCAGTTGACCTAATCCTTCCAGCCGCACTTCGGCCCTGATGTCGACTCAGCCTCTAACAGAAATGAACACCAGGAATCTTCCTGGGGGTAAAGGGGGGCAGGTGGGTAAGACTGGCATCACTGCCATCTGTGAGCGACTGCCTAAAAAATGTGGGAGCCTCGACCTCTCACAACCCTATGGGCCTCCACGGCCTGTTACAGGGGTAGTTTTACCTTTTTCATATAAACCTTTACAGTGTATCGACAGTTACAATACTTGTCTTTTGAAGTAAATTTCATTATTAAGCTTTAGGAATTAATTACAAAATTAATTAATTACCAAAAAATGTTACAATTAACCCAGCATCCCCTGTTCTGTTCGCTTTTAGTGCTGACACAACTTATTATATTTGTAGGAAATAATAATAATAAGAAATCTGTGAATTTATGAGCGTAAACATTAAAGTTGCCAGCGCATTAAACACTCCTGACGACAGATAATTTAACAAAGAAAATGGCGTCGTACTGCAACATGTGGTCCTTGCATGTGCTTTTCACGAAAGACGATTTGATAACCTTATTAAAATTCTTTGTATATCTCGTTGCCTCGTTACGGAAAGGGCGTGCTCCTGAAAATGGAAACTTGTCGTGAAATCGTGTAACTGGAATCCTGTTTTTCCAACGACTCCCATGTTGCAAACAGAGACGCGTTCCTATGGAAAATAATTCAGTCGATAGTTGTAACAAGAACAAGTTTTTTTACCCAGCATAACTAATAGCAGATAGACAAAAATATGGTCGAGGTAACTATTCGAATTGCAACTTAATGGACTCTGTCCGGATACCTTGATTAAACAGGAATAATACACTACACAGGTTCAAATAATTGAGAATAGCGACCACAATATCAGCCATCTCCCTACGTTATTGACTCATGCGCATAGGGTTAGAGATGGCCAGACATATTTTGCTGTCACGTGAACACGTGCTCATATGCCCTATATATATATATGACTGAAATAGTTTATAATTGAATGTTTAGAAGAAAAGAAACATTCACAATTATCCAAGATTTCTGTTAGGGGAATTTAAGGCCCGCAACGATTTTTATTTATTTTATTTTATTTAATTTTATTATTCCTGTAAAGGCGAAGTCCTATAACCTGGACATTCGTAACGCGGAGGCTTACAATTTTCACAAGATGGTATGGAACCCCGGGCTTCAAATGTGGCCACGGTAACTAAATATGTGTTTATGTGAATTTGTAGCAGTATAACCATTTCTTGATTTACGCTTCTCAGGTGTGTTTTAGTTCGGTTTTAGGGGATCACAGAAAATATACCACCTCTTAATTTACCTCTTTTCAGTTCTCACTTTAACGCGATTAGTAACAGAAAACATGGTGGACTGCTGCGTGACGTTGAAGACAATACAATCTGCGCAGATATAGCTGCGTGCACGAATGGTATGAAATATTAAATAAAACCATAAAAGGTAAGAAGGTAAAACTGCCCCTGTAACAGGCCGTGGAGGCCCATAGGGTAGTGAGACGTCGAGGCTGCCACATTTTCTAGACAGTCAGCTCACAGATGGCGGTAAGGTTGTCAGCCTTACACGCCGGTCGCTTTTTAACCCCCTTCCACCAGGAAGAATCCTGGTACTCATTACTGTTGGAGGCTGAGTCGACCCCAGGGCCATAGTGCGGCTGGAGGGATTAGGTCAATTGGGAAATCTAATTACCCCATCGGGATTCGAACCCGCGATCTTGCAGCTTGTAGCATAGTGCCTCAACCAACTACTCTACTGGGTGCCCCTAAATAAAACCATGCTTAAAATTAAATAACAAATTATATGAAATATTTTACATGAACAAATATTTATGTCCTTTGGTTTGGTTTGCCTGTGTTCACAATCCCTCACTTTCCTGAATTTCTTATGAAAAATTATCTCTAGATTTAAACGATTTCAATTTACACTCTGTTTCTCTGGAAGGCATCTACCACGTAAATCGATAAGTTATTGTGCTGTTAAAAATACTGTACGGAACAGAACTCTTAGTTTAAATCGCACAAAACATGCAGACGCTTGACTCCATTCGAGTTAACATTGGTCCACTTCTCAGCGAATTTCAGTTCCTGGATGCTATCTATATTTGAAGTACGTGAGCCCGAAGTCCACCAGGTAGATGAAGCCGTTTAATAAGGCCATGACCCCGGAACCAAGCACTTCTCCAGTTGTGTTGGGGTTCCTGTCCCAGGACTCTATCATTAATGCGCCCGACGTGATGAACATGACAGCTCCCGGCAGTGTGATCACCAGGACCTGAACACAAAGAACACAACTGCAACAACAGAACATGGAAGTCTCTATGAGATTTGAGTTTCTCCGGAGATAGGAACTAGCTCTTTTGATTGGGCCCAACTGAGTAGGTTTTACCTGAAGACGGAGACAGAATCCATTCTCCGAAACATTGTCTTTTGAAAAATAAACATGACGGTTTTTAGATAAGGACAAGACGATGAACAATATCCAAAAACATAATATTTGTTCGAAAAATGACATTTTTTTGTGGGAGGACATGAAATGAGAGTGGTCAAACCAGGAACCGCACAGAAATCTGCACTTAACTGAAAAGTTTCTCCATTTTGTTGTAGAATGTTATGGAAATAGCTCGACCCTTTGCCACGTGTTCCTCTGAGCAAACCATGGATACGCTGATGTACACATGCCTGTGTTATTAATGGACGAACAAATAGCCGGTTCTTACCAGAGTTCGGTCTAGGGGAATATCCAATGCAATTCCCAAGATGATAACAATTGAGAGCATTATGTAGCCCACAAGAGTCCCGTTCACTACGGCAACTTTGCTTGGTGTCATGGCCACGTTCCAATTATCTGCCACCAAACCAATACAGACTGCTGTCACCGTCTGGAGGAAACAGAATTGTATCGCACTAGCAACAAGAACATGTTAAGGTTATGAGCACCATTGTTACATATAGGACATACAGCCTCGAGAGAGAAATGCCTCTGTATGTATATACATGTCTTTTGGCCCAGAAAGAAATAAAAAAATAAAATATACCTAATCTCAAGAAATACAAAATCTGTGGAGAGTTAGCAGCTTTCATTCTGAGATGTAACTTGTCAGAATTGTGGAAGTGTGAATTGAGCAGTGCTGCTATCTATAGGCTCGTTATAAACTTTTTCAGAAGAATATGGACGTTGCGATAACGATTCACCCACGGTTCACCAGCTATCGTTCATTGCTACCAACTTTTGTTCCTATTTGTAACTACTACTAACTCTTGACTGCTAACATAACGACAAAATAACAAGCTTTAGCTTGTAATGTGTACGGATTGAGGATGAAGTAGATTTATCCAGCGTACATGACGACTGGCTCCTAGCGTCTAGCGTCTAGAAGTAAACATAGAGAAAACTAAGTATCATAGCTCAAGCGGTTAGTCGCTGGCTTCCCACCGCGGCGGCCCGGGTTCGATCCCGGGCCTGGTCAAGTGGGATTTGTGGTGGACAAAGTGGCGCTGGGGCAGGTTTTCTCCGAGTACTTCGGTTTCCCCTGCC